AGAACCGGATCTGAATCTTGCAGTGTTTTGTCTTCGTTGACTTTCTTGCTTCCATGGCGCTGAAAAAGCTCCAACATGCTTCCCATGAATGCTTGTTGACTTCGTCGGATATCGTCGAAAATGGCATATGCAACATTTGCTCCAAAGATGAACCTGTCGAATTCTCTTGTATCACTTGTAACTTCGATCTATGCAAAGCTTGCTCCAAGTTGCCACACAAGGTGTCACATGAATTCCACTCGGAGCATCCTCTGGAGTTTTGTCTCCGAAAACATGATCAGAGACCTGAACACATCCTCTGTTCTTGTTGTGGGTGCTTGTCTTCAGAATCTTTCTACAAGTGCAAAGAGTGTGAGATCTACCTTGATCTAAGTTGTGCGATCCTACCAAACATTTTCAGGAGCTGGGATGATAACAAAAAGCTCCATTACAGCCATGCTCACTTGCTTCAGAGGTGTAGACCGGGACCAGACGCTAGAGGTTCTTGTCTGTTGTGTGAGCTTCCACTCTCTCCCTCTGCGATATGTTATGGTTGCGTTCATTGTTACTCGTTTATTCACGAGCGTTGCCTTGATTTTTCCATGGAGATTCAACATCCTGTGCATCCGGCACACCCTCTCAGGCGCCTCGATTACACCCAAAATTGTGGTCCTGTATTATGTTGTAAAGGGTGTGGAAACACAATTGCTACTGTCCCGATTGGTTGTCCAGAATGCAGATTTTATCTTCACCTGAGGTGTGCGGATTCCTCGTTGCGAGGCCTGATGATGCACAACAACTTTCATAAGCACAAGTTGTTTTACCAAGCTACTGGTGCTAAAATCGTTTTCCAGTATCGTAGATGTGATATCTGCAAGAAATATGGTGTCATCTCTCTCGAAACTTATTATCACTGCTTGGAATGTAATTGTAAGATCCATTTCGAGTGTCTTGAGATTCCTCGGTGTGTGTTAGAGTGTTAAATAAAATCAACATGCATATAATATTTAAGTACATGCATGTAAATAAATTTACATGAACCCTAAGATTTTTAAGCATATAAATTAATTACATAATAAAATTAGGAGAGTTAAAGGAGTACCTCCATTCAATCATGATGAGAAAGTATTCCTTATATGGTTGATTTGATTAGAAGATGAAGTCTTGATCTTTGATTAGGACTTAAATTTTCTCTCCCCTTTCCTACAAACCTATCTCTTATGTGTTGTGTAATTTTGTTCTCACTTTGATCACACCTTTATAATGGGCTAAAGGTAAGTATTTATAGGAGGAGAGATGACCTAGTTCCTCATTAGGGTTTTGATCTCAACCATCCATCATGGTTAGAGATTAAAACTTGTATGACAAGTGTTAAGTATGTCTCTAATACATGTCATGGAATTAGCCATGAATGTTACACATTTGTCTCTTATACTTTACANTTGTTAGAGATTAAAACATGTAAGACAAATGTTAAGTATGGCTCTAAATACATGTCATGAATTAGCTATTAGTGTTGCCATATGTCTCTAATACTTTACACTTCTAATGTTTTTTTTAATTAGGAAATTAAAACTTCTTAATAATTAGTTAAAACTTCTTAATAATTAGTTACCAAATGTTATTAAGGAATAACACTTTTATTAGAGAAATATATGAACTATATATAAGACCATATAATTGGGAAAATATCATTTTCCTTACATTCTCTCACTTGGTCGTTAATATAGCCCATCAATAATATTTTTTTAATCAATCATAAAGCCGGCATAATATGTTATATCTTAATATTTATTTGGTCATCATAAGTGTCTTGGCTAATCTAATAATCAATGAGAGTCATGGCGGTTACACATCATTTTGCAACATGATTCCTTCCATGCACTACTACATTGACTACTATCATAACTAGACCATAAACATAAGTAGAAGTTATCTTAATGGTCCTTTTTATGTCTTTAAAAAGACGTATTATGTTATCATAAATCCAACAACAATTATGGGTGCGCACATTNGNAACAGAATATCTATAAAGATGTAAAAGTCATACAAGAGCTCAAAAGAAATGTCAAATATAGACTAGTCGTAATACAAACAACATAATTAAGAGTTATCCTCAAGACCCATACTTTCAGCATGCTTTTGAAAAGTCTTGGGAGGTAATGCTTTTGTAAACATGTCTGCGACCATAAGTTCAATGCCTTTATGTTTAATGACAAACTTTTCTCTTTTAACATCTTGCTTTAATGATAGATATTTAAGGTTCATATACTTGGATCCTTTCGATATCCTGTCATGCTTTGAGAAGAAGATTGCATCTTGATTGTCACAATAAAGAGTTAAAGGCTTGTCAACAAAACTTAGAGGCCCAAACTCAGAGACAAAATTTCGCAACCATGCTCCTTGAATAGAAGCCTCATAACATGCCACATACTCAACCTCCATATTTGATGTGTAAATCAACTGTGACTTCTGACTTTTCCATGATATGGCACCTCCGTTAAGGAGATACGCATAGCCAAGAGTGCAATGCCTAGAGTCATGGCATCCACCAAAATCTGAGTCTGAAAATCCAACCATCTGTGGATGTGTTGATTTCCTATATGTGAGCATATAGTTTCT